TATTATAGGTGTGCAAACTCAGCAAAATATTCTAAAAGAGTCCAGTAGCCCATAATAGCATAAAATGTTTTAAAGCATTGAGGATGTACATTAGTGGAAATGTGCGTTTGGGTTCAATTCCCAGAACCACCACCCATGCTTATGAAGTAAAAATATTGTATTCACATTAGAGGTTATCTTTCAGAAGGAAGGAGGCATGGAATTGGGGATGTATGTGAAGTGTCTTAATTATATGTGTACAGTAAATTTCCAAATTGAGGAACATTTGATTTGCTAACTTTCACAGGTATACTGTATAAGATTTACAGGTGTACTGTATAAGACTCACTTTGTCAGATTACAAATGAATCTTGATTTATGAACATTCTCCTGGAATGAAACTTACTTTTAAGTCCAGGACTTACTGTAGTGTCTTATTTTTTTCTACTGGATGCTTTAAATATATGAACAGAAATTTAAAGATTAAAGTTATATGCAAGTTAAACATAATACCATAATCTTTGTCTTTCTAGTTATTTTGGAAAAACAGATTCGCATACCACGTTCTCTTTCTGTAAAAGCTGCAAGTGTCCTGAAGAATTTTCTTAACAAGGTATGGATTATGTATAAAAATCTTTCATGGTTCATCTGTATCTGTATAAATTAAACCGGTAAATAGAGGCTTAGGCAAGTTAAACTTCTAAACCAGCAGCATAACTTTTTCAGTTAGATCTGGAAGGAATAATTCACAATAGTAGCTTCCCATATTGACAGTATGATTTTCCTTAAGCTATGTTACATATGATGTTTTTAATGTAAATGATACCTATATCATATTTTCTATGAAGGAAAAATTGAATCTATGTGATTAGCCAAAACTGCATGTTCAACTCTATTTTTCCATTTTCTCTGTATCATTATCCATAGAATCAGTTCATCGCCGTGTATTTTTTAAGCTGTGGGAAGCAGCATTCTCTACAAATTACCATTTCAAAACCATACTCAGTGGTACCTTGTTTCATGAACTTAATTTTTTGTAAGATTTTTGAGAAAGGGACCACATTTGTATTTTTGTGGAAAGATAGCCACAGTTGTGTTTGTCACCCAATGCAGATTTTGCAAACAAAAAAAAATTTGCCAAATGCTTCTATTTGTAAGTCAAATTTTCTTGCAAACAAGGTACCACAATAAATAGGTAAAATTCAGAAAAGATGTAATGCTGTTGTAGAAGAATCTGAACATCACTTAAATATTGGTTGTAGTTCTTAGCCTAGAAGTTTTAGGACCTAAGATTGTGATCATAAATTTTATGTTAAATAAATTGCAGGATAGAAAGCAAGTTTATAAGAACAAAAAGTAAGTTTGTGTGAATTTACCTTTTATGGTAAATGGTTAAGATAATAGTTGTAATAAAGTCAGAAATGAAAGCTTTTTATATTATTATTTTTTAAATGGTGACTAAATTTATTTGAAAAAGTAGAAGTGAAGAGAGAAACTGGCTCTGCAGAGAGAGCTTGGGAGAGTAAAAGATGAAAAAAATAGGATAGACGTACATCCTGGAGGAAACAGGGTAGGGCATAGTGAGGAAAGCCACAAACAGTAGTAAGCTCTTCTTGTCTGTCCTTAGTGTGTTTTATGCTGCCCAGAACTTGAAATTTGCAGGAACTTTATATACAGGTCCTGAGTAGTGGTGCTGGGATCCCACACCTCTCAGGCTGATGTCAGGTCTGGGCCATCTTACCGAAGACTACTCAAGCTCGCGAAGAAATCCACATGCAGGGCTTTGGGAGCTGTTCTGTGCATGTGCGTGTGTTTCAGGATCTTGTAATTAACAGGTCACACCTACTACCCCAGCCAGCTTTGCCACACCCATCTCCTGTTTCATTTCCTCATAAGAGACAGGTAGTCATGATATTCTTTTTTTTTTTTTTTTTTTTAACATTTATTTAGTGTGTGTGGGTGTGGGTGTGGGTGGGTGGCCAGCTCAGCCCACCAGGGGGCGCGGCTGGCTGGCATGTGGTGCTGGGGGATCGAACCGTGGTCCCTGTGCTTTGCTTAGCTTAGTTTGTTCCAAGTAGGTGCTTTAGACCACTGAGCCATCTCTCCAGCCCCAGTCATGATATTCTTTATGGGATACTGAAGGAGTGGAGCTCTCCTCTTGAAGCTAGAAAGAGTTGTGAATCCTCCTGGGGACTGTGAGCTCTCCATCTGAATTGAAGAAAAAATAAATCTCAGAGAATGATGAGAAAAGAGTTAATGATCATTGAGCTGACTGATAGGAGAAAGAAACTTCACTAGTAGTCCAAATAGGAGGAGCAGGTCAGATTTTCACACTTCCTATAGCAGCACTGGAATCTTGCTTTTTGAAGATAAATCTCAAGTCTTCCAGAGGCTCATAGGAGTAGCTTTTTCTTTTTGGGTGATGTTGTTCTTCACAGTTCAAGTAGGACTGGCTTTATTCTAGAAGGTTTAATTCGGTTATTTATCTCTGTCACCTTTATTGCAATGGGTGTGGCTTTGGTCTCTCAGAAGGGACCCTTCCATTTTGGCTTTAATTTTTTGTTTTTAAAAAAAAATTTTTTTTTAAGCTGCTTTTCTTTTTCCTCCCATTTTATTTTAGCAGGTAGTGGTAGCAATTCTCTACTTCAGTGACATAAATAGGAGTCATGAGGAATTTTTACCTGTCAACAACTTCAGAAAATTCACTTTCAAATTATGGGGAAAAAAAATTTATTCATTTTCTTTCTTTCTTTTTTTTTTTTTTTTTTCAGAACCAGGGATTGAACTCAGGCCCTTGCACTTGCCAGGGAAGCGCATATTCCACTGAGCCATCTCCCTGGCCCCTGGAAAAAAATTTTTTAAAAAAGAAAGAAAAGAAACATAAAAAAAAAAAGAAAAGAAAGAAAACTCACTTTCTAGCAATAAAAGACCATTTTAGCTTTAGAAATGCAGATACCACATAATAAGCATAAAACACAGGCCAGTAAGGTAATTTATTTTAAAGCTTGCCATTCACCCAATCCTTGCAATATTTTTTCCACCCAGGACCCAAAGGAACGATTGGGTTGTCATCCTCAAACAGGATTTGCTGATATTCAGGGGCATCCATTCTTTCGAAATGTTGATTGGGATATGGTATGTAAATTTTGATTGTTTTCTGTATTAGATTTTATTGTTGCCTCAGGCCAACTTTTGTTGTCTTAAAAGTGTTGACATACTAGTATATGACATTTTAAATAACTGAAAACATTTTAATGTTTTTTTGAAAATAATACAATTAAAATATTAATGTACTAGAGTAGGTTTCAGTGTTATTAAGGCCGATATCTATATTCAGATTCATAGATTATATCCATCATTGTTAATACTGTGTAGAACCATGCCTGCCAAAACATTTGAAAGCAGAAGAGAAAAATGAGAGTGGAATTTTCTAAGAATGCAAACTTGAGATGTCATGCACTGTGTCTTTTCAGATGGAGCAAAAGCAGGTGGTGCCACCCTTTAAACCAAATATTTCTGGAGAATTTGGTTTGGACAACTTTGATTCTCAGTTTACTAATGAACCTGTCCAGCTCACTCCAGATGATGAGTAAGTAATTCTACTGCAGTATCTTCTTTTTAAAGGAGAATTTGGAAACCCATTTTTTCAGTAGCTACACACAGTTTTATCATCACGTTAAAGTATAATTTATGTTATCAATTCCTGACTATTTGAGCCCTTTATGTACTGCTACAAATTGCCTCATAGCTGTCATTGTTTCTTACTTTATATGCATTATCTGAATTCTCACAGCAGCCTTGTAAACCAGGTATTGTAATCTTCATTTTACAGACAAAGAGATCAAGACTCAGAGAGGTTAAGCAGAGTTACACAGCTGTCAGGTGGCAGGATTCGAACCCAAATCTGAGTAACTAAGGCCTGTGTTCTTTTCACTGTGCTGCTTCCAGTGTTAATTAAGAATGTCTTTGTCTGAGTTTTTGAGTATTTCCTTAAAAATTACATCAAGTTATCAAATCCAGCCAGCAATGATCTGAAATATTTTTGTGGTTATGTTGCATATCTTTGAAGCACAGTTTGGGATAATTTTTGGATCATTTATCATTCTAGATTCCTTCTCTAATCTCAAGGAGGCCTTTATTTGGCAGTCATTTTACTTATCTTAATTCTGATCACATTCTTCCTAGCAGCTGTTCTAAGTAATCTCTGTTTTTTTAGAAGCCTCAGTCCTATAGTGCAGTAACCTGGCCTTAGCATTGATTGCCACGAGGATTGAGGCCTCAGGCTTGGGAGCTTGTCTGCTTGGCAGCTGTCCCCAGACTACCTTGTATTTCTGGTTTGCTGGGCTCTTCTCAGCCTTTTTCTTGTCCCTGCTGTGGGAAGGCACGCCCTTTTTAGGAAGGTGTGGCTCTCCTACTTTTCCTAGACTGAGTTTTTTTTTTTTCTTCTGGGATTTCATTATACCTTTTTTGTTGTTGCTTCACCCTCTTTGTTTTTTCCATCTTCTTTCCCTCTACTGCCAAGCATATTCAGATAGCCTGATGCTTGTTCTCCAAGTTTTAATCCTTGTTTTTTGTTTGTTTGGTTTTCTTTTTTGTTGTCTTGTTTTTGGTTTTATTTTGGGATTTCTTTCTTTTCTTTTTTTGAGATAGGTTCTTGCTATGTGGCCTAGGCTGTAGTTGAACTTGGAATCTTCTTGCTTCAGTCCCTTGAATGCTGAAATTATTGGCATTCACCAACATGCCTGGCTTAGCCCCTCTTCGAACCACTACATTTCTCTCTCTCTCTCTCTCTCTCTCTCTCTCTCTCTCTCTCTCTCTCTCGTTAGGCATTAGCAAATACTTAAGGGGCTGGGGAGATAGCTCAGTAGTCCTTAAGTGCCTGCCTAGCAAGTGCAAGGACCAGTGTTCAGTCCCCAATACTGAATGCTATGTTAGCCCAGAACCCTGGGTGTACTGTGCCAACCACAAATCCTTGTGTGGTGGCTCACACCTGTAATTCCAGCACTGGGGAGCCTGAGACAGGAGGATCACTATTAGTCTGAGCTGTGTAGTGAGACCTTGTACTAAGTAAATAAATGAATTTTTTTAAAAAACCTAAATATTTAAAGGGTGTTTATGGTAAAAATAAATAGGTATATCCCTATTAAACTTCTTTACAGAAGTCAGCATTGTTTTGTACTTTTTTTCTGTAAACATTTTTTAAATTTTTTTTTATTAATAGAGAAACAAATAGTTTGAGACAGTTTCAAAACAGGATAGTAGGACAGTTACAATAATTAATACATTGCATATTGTTGTCTTCATAGTAGTTATTCATAGTAACAGATGCAGACATGATATCCTGTCCATACACTATTAGTACAAATCTTCTCATTGAATTAAGAGAAAGTAGCTGTATATCTAACCTAACTATTTTGGACATACAGATACAAAATGGTCCTTCATTTATATCCCCTTTTTCGTTTAGTTTTGTCAGAGGTGGGTCTTCCATTGCCATTTAAATATTGTAGGTGCATGAATTCAGCAAAATAATCCAATATAGTCCAGTAGTCATAGTGGCTTATCCATAGAACTCTGCAGACTTCAAAAGTCATCTCTGGAATTGCTGGGCTCCAGACCTTGTTCCCTGTTCTAGCTGTGCTTTCTACCACCCTCCCTGTTTCTGCAAACATGTTTACCCCTTAGTTTAATCTTATCCTTCAGCTTTTTTTTTTGGAACTGGGAATTGAACTCAGGCCCTTGCGCTTGCCAAGGAAGCACTTATTCCACTGAGCCATCTCCCCGGCCCTCCTTCAGCTTTTGAAGGTCAAATTGACTTCTTAATTTTTAAATTATAAAGCACTTTTTAATCAGTCCTTATGTTCTCTGAGGTCTATAAACCATTTGGCATTCATGCCCCGGCCTTTGGTAAAACTGCCCATCCTGATTCTATTTGTCTGTGTGAGACTTGCCTTTCTTTTTTTTCTCTTCCTCTCAAGACGAGGGTACTCCATGGTTCTATTCATGGCAGCCTTCTCTTTGCTGTATGCGGTTTGTCTCCTCTTGGAGACATCAGTCAGTCCTGCAGCATGAACACTAGCTCCTTAAATAACACCTAGCTAACTGGGCAAGTGGTTGAGCAAGAGGCACTGTACTAAGTACTAGAAATTCAAAAATGATCAAAACAGTCCAGTTTCACAGCTTGCTGTCCTCTAGAAGAGACACAAATCATTATTCCTGATAGCATTGTATATTAAAAAGAACACTGGCCTTAATCAAAAGATAGGCACTTGAATCCCGAAGCCACCTCCGGCCAAGGGGTAACTTGGGTTTGAGTTGCATAAGTTTCCTGAGCCTGTTTGCTCTCCTGTTGTTACCTTCCAAGGTGACTGTGGAGAATAATGACTGATGGCTCTGCCCCATCCAGCCCTGCTTGGATACCTCTCTGAACTGCATTTCTATCTGTTCAACATCTCCCAAAGTCTGTTAGACACCTCATATATTTAGAATTATGAAGTCAAAATAATAAACCTTTTTTTTCTTTTTCTGTTGTTTCCAATCTGTTTGGTATTATTTACTTATTTCTAACCATTGTGTCGCCATGTATTCTTGTCATTTGGATTCAAAATGTCAGTGGTTATTGCCTCTTTTTCCTTAAGAGGTTACATAATTCCTGCACTTGCCAAATCCTAGTCCCTCTCTTACTTTATCATTTGCATCAGAGCCTCTTTTCTCATTCTGTTATCATAACCCTACTTCCATTGCCATCTGCAGTATCCCAAGAGTATTGATCAGCTTCCTAATTGATCTCCATCCTCCCTTTACCAGGCAGCCTATTCTGTGCCCCTCATGAAGTACTACTTTAATTTTTTTAATTCTTTGATCAGAAACCTTGCTTAGCAGTTGAATTGCTTATCACGTAACACCACTCCTCTTGCTACTAGCCTTTAAACCTCCCCAGTCTGCTCCAGCCTAACTCTATAGCTGTGTCTCTCACTACAGCAAACAGCATTATGATCAATCCGAGTTACTTACCTTCCCTGTTAGTATCATTCTCCTTCTGCCTGTCCTGCTTGTGCCTCTGTTCCTCTATCATCTTACCTGTTTGCTCACAGCTACCTAGATGCAGCCAGATATTTGATGGATTAAGGCAGAACTCTTCAGTATGAATATTGTTGGCTTCTTTGGCCATTAGGTTCCTTTCAGCATCATTTAACAGTCTTCCATTGCTGTGCTCTTAGGCTAATAAATTCCTTACATTTTTTGAGGCATACCACAGTCTTTCATTATTCCATTCATTCAGTTTTTGTAGAGTAGACACTGCCTTCCTTGATTTCTCCATCTAGAAGTCACTCTCCCTTTAGAATTGTGTTCAAACAGAACTTTGCTTGTCACTATGAGATCAGCAGATACTGCTTTCATTTATGGCTTTCCAGTATATGAGTTAGCTAAGGAAGGGTTCTAGCTCTGTAACTTCATGCTGTGCAGTGTATACCTGGCTATTAAAATGTTTGCTAGGAATTCTCTTATAGTACACTAAGCTAGAAGCCCAGTGTAGAATGCTGCCTGTCCCTGTCTGCTCTCTCATATCTCTCTGTGATGTTTTCTCCTTATTCCAGCTCTCAGTGTATTGTTCCTATTGCCTTTCCCCTTTGGCTAATTTCTTCTGGGCCTACTCTTCACCCATCTTCCATCTGGCTATTGAGGCGAGTACTAAATTGGATGCTAATCAGATCTGGATGTTCACCTTAATTAAGAATGTTGTTCAGATCAAAAGTGAGGGTTAACTGGAATTGTGATAACTTGTGCCATTTTTATTCCTGGCCAGTTTTGAGGTACCTTTTGGATCTAAATTTGCTTGTGGGATTATTAGTCTTTATTTTATTTTTTCCATTACTCTTGATTCTTCTAGAGAAAATATTTTGGGATTAATCTAAGAATTTGTAGATTTTTTTCAGAACTATATAATTAGCTCTATTTTATTTTTTATGTCTTATTTACCATTAACAGTTGACAAAATCTTGATTATGATGAACATAAATTTATTTTTCTTTCAACAGTGACATTGTGAGGAAGATTGACCAATCTGAATTTGAAGGTTTTGAGTATATCAACCCTCTTTTGATGTCTGCAGAAGAATGTGTCTGAGCCTCATTTCTCAACTATGCATTCTGCTTATGTTACCATTTAATGCGTGAATAAACTTGTTACCACCCTGGATGCAATTACCCATTTCATATTTGCAATCTAAAAAAAAAAAAAAAAAATTCAGTATCTTCTATTATAGAGTATAAGAATCAAGTATTACATCTAAATGTAACTACAGACAAGAAATTAAAATTAGCTTCCAGACAATCACATTGAGAGTTAGTTACACTGGTTCTTCAGGACCTACTGTTGAGAAACGAAGTCACCTATCTGTTCAGAGGAAATACCACTGCTTTTTCAGAGAAAGTATCTGTTGTTTTTAAATCATATGAGGGAATAACATCATAAGTGTCTCATCATTTTTATTCTATGTTAAGTCATTTGAGAGTTTAATTTTGGAGTGGAAGGTTAATTTAAAATATTTCCTTGGATAATAATTGAATTTTAAGGCAACAGTTATTAAATTGGTAACAAGACATTCCTTGGATTTTCTCTCTCACTCCCTTCTTCCCCTCCCTCTCCCTTTTCTTCCTTCTGTTCCTTCTCCCTCCCGCCCTCTGATGGGATCTTGTTACATAGACCATGTTGGCCTTGGACTCACTGTATAGCCCAGGCTGTCCTCGAATTTATGATCCTCCACCTCAACCTTTTTGAGTGCAGAGAGAGATTCTTCAGTTAAAATGTAGACATGTTTTATTAAGAAGCAGAATCCAAATCATTAGCTATTTTGTAAAGACTGGCAGAAGTGATTTACTTTTTAAAATAAAAGCCTTGCTTCTGAGCTTACCATTTTAGTGAAATCTGACTAGAACATTAATATCTATAGTTCAAAAAACCTAGGACAAAGTTATATGGAAAATTGGTCAGTATACAGAAGAGGAAAAAACCTCCAAAATTTAAAGTAGATATAGGAAAGTGCAATGGCAATATTTATTTCTTTTTAAAGGGTACATCAGCCTAGTACGGTGGTGCACACCTATCATCCCAGCACTCAGGAGGCTGAGACAAGAGCATCACCATGAGTTCAAGGCCAGCCTGAACGACATAGTAAGACCCTATCTCAAAAAAAAACAATAAAAAAAGGTGTATCCTACAGTTGCTTTTTGTGATTTAACAGATAACAGGTAGGCGTTCCATTGTTACCAAATTTGTAAACATTCCATTTATTAATTGACAGAATGTATAATTTTCTTGTTATTTACTACTGCGCAGAAAAATAATTTGTCTCTTAAATAGAATGTCTTAGTTATATATATTTGTTTCCAAACAAGGTTACCTGTACTTTTGGGCCCCAGTTTATGGATTCTTCGGTGAGATCCAAAAAATAACACTTAAGAATAAATGTGTAGAATGTACATATATTACAGTTCTATCTCCTTGATTTTTTATTTAGTATATAACATGTAATAATAGAATTCATTTCATTTCAGGGGCAGAGTTCTTCAGACTTTTTTTTATTAAATTAGTAGTTAGCAATTTATTTCACTTGATCTTAGCCAAAAGGCTGAGAAGTGATAGCAACTTATTATTTAAAGAGGTGCCAGATGCAGCATTCCTCTGTTTAATGCCATTTTTGTGCAAAGGACTTGGAAAAGTAGCCACGATCATCTAAGTAAGTTATGATTGTACAATCTTAGTAAAATTTAATTGTAGGAAAGTTACCTAGTTTTAAATTTTAAAAGATTTAAAATTTGTACACACTTAATTTTTTTTAATTTTTAATGCTCCTTTTCATTAGAAATTAATTTTCCAAAGCATGTAGGTATATATTATTTTTTTCTTCAAGTAACTAAATTTGAAAGTAATGAAAACCTCAAAAGAAGATGTTTATATGCCTTCACATGTTTATTTCTGCGACTTATATGCTTCTCTCAATGCCTGGAACTTGTTTTAAAAGAAAATTCAGTGTTCACATTACAAATTTACAGAGTTATGAATTATCAGAAAAAATGTTTATGATCTTGGCTTTTAAGTGGTGCTGTTTCCCGTGGGACATTTCAGAATGTAGAATAATCAAATGAGTTTGTTTAAAACAAATATTACTGGGGAATATGCAATGAATATTAATGTTAAAATTCTTTTGTGTCTTTTGACCTTATTTTGAGAAACACTTTCTTCAGGTTATTCTTTTGTCCTGTGGTTAAATAATAGAAAATGTATTCATGGTAAGATGTCTTAAGACAGAATGAGCAGCAGGTTACAACCTTAGCAACATTTCTGGTTTGGATTTGCCAGGCAGGTAGGTGCTTGTGCTGCTGAGCTATATCCCTGGCTAATATTTTTGAACAAATTTTAAATGAATGACTTTTTTCAATCTTTCCTGCTCCCCCATGAAATATTGTCTACCAATAATATATAAATGAGCATTTTTCTATGATGAGGTTTTAACTATTATTAAGGATGGTCTTTTGTTTTTAATTTTTTTAACTAATAAGATGTACTGTGTATATTTTATGACAAAATTGCATTATAAATATGTTTTTAATATTTTTTAATTGTGTTCTATTTTTTGCAATCTTTTTAAGTGCCATGTCAGTTTTTTTTTTTTTAATTTTATATAGCTGTTCTCTCAAAATATGTACTGGGAAAGTAAGGCAGTGGACAGTCTGAATGGTTGGCATTTTAGTGTTCTAGGAAATAATTTATTTTGCATAAGTATGTGGTCAAATCATTTTATGCATATGCAGCCTAGATTAAATATCAAGTATTATGCTTGTTCAGTGCCGGTACATTTATTATAAATTTGTTTTGATCTTTGTCATGTGGAATACTACCTTGGTCATAATGTAATCTATTTTGTGCACCTTTTTATTTTTACACTAAAAATCTTTAAATAAAACATTAAATATCCATCAAGATTGGACTATTCTTATATGTACCATGTCAAAAATTTGTGATAGAACAAAGATCTATCAAAATTTATTAAGTAGGGTCTGGGGAGATAGCTTGACCAACTAAGCGCCTGCCTGGCAAGTGCCAAGACCCGGGTTCTATCTCCAGTACCACATGCTGTTATTCCAAGTGCCCCCGTGCTGGCTGCTGAAACCGGGAGTGGTGATGCACACCTGTAATCCCAGTGCTGGGGAGGCTCAAACCAGAGGATCACTACAAATCCGAGTTGTGTAGTGAGACCCTGTACCGAAAGAAAGAAAGAAAGAAAGAAAGAAAGAAAGAAAGAAAGAAAGAAAGAAAGAAAGAAAGAAAGAAAAAATTTGTTCACAGAAGTTAGGCATAGTTGCACACACCTTTAATCCCAGCACTAGGCAGGCTGCAGTAGGAGCTCAACTACACAGTGAGCTCAAAGCCAGCCTGTCCTGTGTTGCAAGACTTATCTCAAAAAGAAAGAGGGAAACAAATTGAAAAGTTTTTAGAGCTTAGGACTATTGCCATACTGTACTTGAAACATCACTCTGGTCATGATGCTATCCTGTAGACACTCATCAGTTAAGATATTTTCTGATATATTTTTAACTTGTCCTGCCATGGGAAGGCAATCACAAAACTAACCTACTGTGAGTGATTTACCTAGTTTTAATTAAGTCAGTTTAGCAGATTATTCCTGTTATTTCCTTCATCAATCTAAGTCTAGAACTTCTTTTCAGTAATAACTAGTATCTGTGCACAAACAAGTATCTGTCCCATGCCGAGCAGTGCTCTTTGCCATAACTTAATGTTTTCATTCCTTCATAAGGAGAATGACATCATAAATGCCTTTTTTTTTATCAGAGTGAGAGCCAGTAGATTAAAACTACTGTGCTCTTTATTATTTTATCCTAATACCAAATTTTAAGATTGAGTTATAGATAGCATTAATGAAATGCCATCTGAGCTATTCCCTTTTTCCATTTAGTTGTTTCTTGTTTAGTTTTTGTTGTTGTTTTTGTTGTTTGTTTTTTGTATTTAGTACAGGGTCTCACTACACAGATTGGACTTGTGATTCTCCTGTTTTCAGCCTCCCAAACACTGGGATTACAGGTGCACATCACTAAACCCAGTCTCAATCACCATCTCAGTGTGCTCCTGGGGCGGGGCAGGCACTGCGTGCAGAGGGTCAGCGCTTCTGCCTAAGCAGGCACTTTAATCCGCTGAGCTATCTGGCCAGCCCTAGTTCTTTCTTGTGAATTAATGAAAATGCCAAACCAAAGCTCAAAGAACCTGAAACTTGAGGAAAATGTTGCACTAAAAGCATTTAGTCACTGAGAAACCAGTTTCCAGTCCTTTAAATTGAATAGCTTGGTTTCTTGACACCACCTAGCAGTGAGTCACTTGGTGTAGCTGATGATCTTGTATGCTTACTCTGCCTTAAGACTCAGGGCATTGGTTATGATTCTTAGTCTGAGTAGTTTGTATCCATAGTCTATTGTTCCAGGATATGTTTTGATTTATGATGCACCAAGCTAATGAAAAGAACCTTTGCTCTTGACATTCAAGATAAAGGGGCCAGGGAGATTGCTCAGTGGAATAAATACTTGCCTAGAGAGCTCAAGGGCCTGAGTTCAATCCCCGGTTCTGAAAAAAAAAAACAAAACAAAACGATAAAAAACAAACATAATGAGAAAGATGCTGGTTTTCACAACTAGTCCAGCGATGAAAATTACATAAATGCAGCACAATACACAGTATGTGGTTATGATAGATTATTAATTTCACTAGTCAAGTATGTATGGTTCTTTTCTAATCCATTCTAGGACATTTTTCAGACTTAGAGTCCAATGTTTTCTGTATTCATGCATACTCAGTATTAAAATCTTGGGCCTCTCGCTCTCCACACACACTGGAAGATTGTTGGCTTTTGTGCTGAGAAACACAAACTGGGTTTTACATAGCAGTGGGAAAGATGCCAGTTAGGTGCTTTGGCTTAGATTGCTTACAGTTGATTTCTGAAATTTGTGCTGCAGATGAATCCAGCTCAGCGTAAGAGTGACTTTGGTTGTGAGCTGTGGCAGTGTGTGCCATTTACATAGCAAGCTGTGCCTTATTGGCCACTAGTATTTTAGTTTTACTCCAATTACTGCTTTTAAAAATATCTTTGTTGAAGGAACTAAAATTGGGAGTATCTGAAAGATTAAGTGGCTGTGTAGTGTGATCTTTTATAGGCTCTT